TCGCTTTGCACAGGAGCAGCAACCGGTTGAGGAAGCAAACGGCTGCTGTTGCACCTCGACTTTGGCAGGTGCAAGTGAACCGGAGGCAATTAAATGGGGCTGGAGCTTTATAGCTTGGCTTCCCTATGAGAATACGTTACCTTTTCACACTCACGTGCAGAGGCTATGTCTGTGCTAATGACATCCTAATAACACCAGTCTTTCTCACCTGTTCCTTTAGGGATCAAAGCGTGTCCCTGCAATTCGCAGAACAAGCATCAGTATTGGGGAGCCAGGGTGCGATACGCACGCAAGGAACAAGTCATAGCGTCTGTAGTATTCAGCGGCACCCTAAGGGTGGACTTGGTAGCGTTGGGTTAACGGCTGGACTCAATGATCTCAAGGGTCTTTTCCAACCTAAATGATTCTCTGAGTCTGTGTTTACGAGTGATGCATGACTGCCTATTTCTGGAATCCTGTCAGATACAGGACTTACGTCTAAGTTTATGCAATTTGACGTTGCTAAACCATGGAATTGAATATCCATTTTATAATTGAGAAACTACTTGCAAGAGAAAGAGCAATTGTACCTTAGCTCTGTGCAGGTTCTAGTACAAGGTGGACAAAGGGACTCTGCGCAGTGTGGCTTAAATGTTAGGTAAGACAACTGAAGTCAACATTTAAAAAAAAATAAAAGTCACTAATTCCCTCTGCTGCAAGTGCACAAATAAGGATCACCGGCTGCCAGGCCAGGCCACGGCTACACTCGTACCCCTGGAAGCGGCTCCTTCCAGCTGCCTCAGCGAGCGTGCCTTGAGAGGGTTTTGTCTGCTGAAGGCAAAAATCTCCTGGTTTTGTGCAAGGAAGAGTCCAAAACGTTATCTGTCTAGCAGGAGAAAACTCACCTCTAACTTGCCCCTTCCCTTCCTCGTTTTTTTTAAGAGCGCCAGGAAGCAGATGCAGGCCACGGGAGAGCTCCCTCTGCGTGTCCCCAGTAGCTTCCCAAAGTCCGAGGAGGTGCGCGGCGCAGACGTGATTTCCTGATGGTGAGCGTTTCACTGATGTTACAGCCGCCTTTGTAATTTAGAAATGAGATGCATTTGTCACCCGGCTTGTTTGAGGCTGCAGGAGCTGAAGGGCCTCGGATCCAAGACTTAAAGGGAAGGAACGGGAAAGCAGGGGAGAGGCAGGCTGGATGATCTCTTTCCAACCGTCACGATTCTGATTCGATGATTTTGCTTGCTTTACAACACACTTACTGTACATGAGACTTGAAGTACAGAGACCCTGGAGGGCAGAGGTAAGGGCGGAGCTGCAAAAATAGTCGATGAAAGAAGGGGTTTGCATGGCCCATGCTACAATGGGAAGTGGAAAGGGGACCGTGGGGATTCGAAACCTGTGTGTGCAGGGGGAAAAGGGACAGCGAGGGGGGATGCGCGAGCTCATGGCGCGGCACAGCAAGCTGCAGCTTAACGAAAGGCAAGCAAGGAACCGTATGTAAAGAGGAGGGAGCGAAAGGTGTAATGCAAGGGGGAGGCCTGTATTTAGCCCGTCTTCGTCTTTGCCTTTGCTTGAAGGTTGGTGTCACTCGGCTGGAAAAGGAGTGATTTTGCAGCTAATCTCATTCTTACAGCTACAACCTTAAGGGGAGGCTGAGGGGAGACCTTATCGCTCTCTACAACTACCTGAAAGGAGGTTGTAGCGAGGTGGGGTTCGGTCTCTTTTCCCAAGTAACAAGCGACAGGACGAAAGGAAACAGCCTCAAGCTGCGCCAGGGCAGGTTTACGTTGGATATTAGGAAAAACTTCACCGAAAGGGCGGTCGGGCACTGGACCAGGCTGCCCAGGGAAGCGGTTGAGTCCCCACCCCTGGAGGTGTTGAAAAGCCCTGTAGAGGTGGCGCTTGGGGACGTGGTTTAGGGGTGGACTTGGCAGCGCTGGGTTAACGGTTGGACTTGTTGTTCTTAAAGGTCTTTTCCAACCTAAACGATTCTATGATTCTGTAAGTAATTGCAGAGGGCAACGAAAGGGTCGCTTTTCCATTCTGTCAGCTCCAGGGAACTTCAGCAGCCACGCAGCATTGCACGCCGTGCGCCATCCGCTCGGGGGGGAGCACACGCTGGAGTGAGCACCGTTTGGAGAAGAGGACAAGTTTGCCCGTCTTTGGGGATGAGGCACATTGTACAAGTTGCTTGCAGCGACAGTCAGGGATGGCCTGAAGTCTTGAGGGGCAAAAGGTAGGAAATGAATAGCAGGCTTCGCTATTAAGGACAAAGGAATATCAATGCTTGTTAAGCAACCTCCACCCACTGTGCGTGCTATAGGAAATACCAGACAGGAAGATTTCTGCCCCAGTTTTATATTTATTTTTTTTTTTTTACAACGGCTGCTTCAATGAAAGATTGAAACAGTCAAACAGACATTATACGCTCGTACGCATTTACAATATTTACATAATATACATTTTTTTTGCTCAACGGGTAATTATAGCAACTTGGAACGAAAGTGCAAGGGAGAAGAATCACTGTGTACACAGTTAAACTTTCCTGTTGATCACGTTGCAATGCCTGAACTAACAGAAGTAACAAGTGGGGTAAATGCACTTCGTAGTAAGCAAGTGTAGTTGTCACTTCACAGTGACAGGTCCTGCGGAGCTTTATTTACACCAAGCCCAAGCCAGCAGGAAGCTATTCCTCTATGCAGAAAATGGATGAGTGAGTTCACAAGTGATCCCTTCTTCATTTTAACATTGAACAGCAGAATCGCAGTGTTGAACTTTCTATTGTGCAAATAGGTAGCAATTAATTTCAAATGCTCTGTTGTATTCAATCCTAAAATATATTTTAACTTCCTTATTATACATGCTATAAAATTACACTAAAAAGTTCAAGTTTCCAAAGTAACAATTACCTTTCTCTCTATATATTCTATATATAATTTTTAAATTGTTCATTTTTTTTTTTTAAAATACCCAGATAGATATACCAGCTCCAGTACGGCTGTGTTTTTTCACCTACCAAAGTCCCGTACATAACCAAAGCCTCATCTGAAAGTCAGTTTTCCAGGTACGCTACTTTGGTCGCCCTCTCATTTTCCCTTCCCTTCTTCTTAGAGCACCTTCCCACATGTCCCACGCCCTGGCTGCGCTACCGTTTCACCTCAGGCTGTGCTGCCCTTCCAGTGGAAGGGCTGGAATTCAGTCCCCTCCAATTAGTAAGCCAAGTTGCACGGCCACTGATGGACAAGCAGCTGGCGACATTTTTCACTTCTTGGAGTGTGTTCCTTCAATACAGTACTGCTATCTCCAGGCCGGACATAATTTAATTCTGCCAAATACCTGACATCAACAGGAATTACTTCAGACCTGGATTTTATTTCATAGCCGTGTGCTTTTCCATACACAAGCTGTACACACACTACAACGGCCTAAGTGCAAAACAGGGAGCACGGTGGTCTCAGCTGCATGGTGTTCAACAAAAAGCAGTCTGAATTTTACAGATACAGTTTATCACTCACCCTACTGATTTTCTCCATGGTTTTATCCTCAAGTAGCACCAACCATTTAAAATTTTCACCTTTAATATATATAGACATACACCTTTTAATATTTTATATATATACACATGCATGTATGTGGCATCGGTACATTCACCGCAGGAGAAACTTATTTACAATTAGTTGGAAAGATTAAATTGTATCAAGTTACAATATACCAAAACAAAATTGGCATTTGTGCTTTCTGTTTGTATAGGAGTCATTTTTGTCATTTCAAAAAAAGTTTATATTTTTATTTGCATCAAGACATGTCACATGATGAAAAAAGTTAGAAAACAGCTAGGATTGAGAATTAGAGCATCAGCTTTCCTCATATGCCCCACAAAGTCTACAGAATAGCTGCTTTCTGTAAAAATTCTCTATTCAAACACCTGTGTGGTTACCCCAGCTTGCTTGAGGATCTTCTCAATAAATAATAACACACAGCAGAACCATGGATCCTGTCTTGCACTGTGCACATTCATGAGATAAAAGTTTCTGCCTTCACTGAGTAACATGTTAATAAAACAGCACGTAAACTTCACTTTTTATTCAGGACCTCAAAGTGCTTTTAAAAAGAAGGAAATACCCCCATTCTACGCAGTAGTTAAGAGGCACAAGGAATAAGGCTTGAATTACTGTCTTCAGACACTGACCAGGCCATGGCAACCAAGGGCTTAAACTCCAGCTTCTCCCCAATCCGTTTACCGAGTCGGAGAATCCCATCTTCTCAGGCAATCTCTACTCTTAGATGTAGACGCTTGTTTATAATCTGTAACATTAACCAAAAAACTAGCAGCTCCACAGCCCAAACAGCCCAGCCATACTTCAGTAAAAGTACTTTTCTCTTGAAAGCATGAAATAGTTTCATAAGAAAGCTGTTTAATTAAAAACAGAGCTAAGTTTAACCCTCATAGTGATTTAGTAAATACAGGTAGCCTGATACAGCAGGCTGTAAGTACCTCTTTGACCGGGCTACCAAGTATTTTCTGGCCAATTGTAATTTCAGCACTGGGCTACATAAAAGTGACCACCTGCCTCATCTGTTTACGCTTCAGTAACCACTGGAGACCAAAAAAGTATTGCTAAGATATACAATATTAAATAACTCATTAAAAACTAACAGTGAATTTTATTTGGTTTTGGGGTTTTGTTTTTGTTGTGGGTTTTTTTTTTTTTTTTTTTTTTTTTTTTTAAATACAAAGCCTGTCAGGCTGCGTGCTGAAGGAAGACTGCTGCCATCCACTTCAGAAGTAAAATATACAGCAGGTGTAGTGTTACTTTGCAAGCAGTCTAATTATTTTAGGAGTAAGAGATCTTCTGTGTCCTAACAGGAAGTCACAGCATTCACATTCATTTCAGGAAACATTCACCTCTTCCAGACGACAAACTGCTCTTCCTTTAGCTATGATCTATGTGCACATTTGCAATGCTTTTCCACAGGCTTCTTGGAAATGGAGGCTTCTTCTAGTCCTCCGTTTTGACAAACTACCCTCTCAGAGACGGCTGCAGGATCCCTTTTCCAACAAGGTGAGATTTCAGGGTTTTATACACGCTTAGTTGTTGCTCAGGCTGAAGTATCAACAGCTGTTTCAGTAATTTGCTGGGATTTGGACCCCTGTCAGTGAAAAAAAAAATTTTTTTGTGAGCAGCAGCTCTAAAGAAACTTTTTGACAGCTTTCCATTCTCCCCTTGCTGCACAAACAATGCCTTCCCTTTTCTGCGGACACCAAGTTATGGATTTCTCCCAGCCTAGCTCAGAACGCATGGGCGAGAATTTCTGGCAAAGCACACTCCTTAGCGCAATCTGAACAGAAACTAAAAAGCATTTCTTGTATTTGCTGTCAAATGGGGATATTAAGAAGGCTTATGACAAATAAGATTCACTGATTCATCCTTAATCACTGTAGTCAACATTTTTCATCAACAGATCTTTTTCAGTTTAGTATCTCTTGCCAGATAAGCTGTGTACTATTGAAATAAATGGAAAGTTGGCCAAGTTGGTAAAGAAAACCACAAATTAAACCAAGCTTTTCTAAGTAACAGCCTCATTTTTAGCTAGTTACTTATTTACAGTCTGCTTCTAAGATAGACCAAATACGAGGCAAAGAATCTGTTGCTGATTAGGTGTCTAATAATTATTTAGCCATATGGATTTACAAAATGAAGGGCACGTTATCACTTTGGACACCTACAGGCCCTTGATCCCCCCTGCCCCAGGAACTAAAATGATTGACTGTAAGAGAATTGTCATTCCCATGATTTCTTCTTGAAAGCTGGTGTGGTTCAGGGAAGATGAGCAGTATGTTTAAGAAGTTGTCTCCTCTCTTTAACCATAGTGTTTTCATCTTAAACAAAATATCCTGAGTCAAGTGACAGAAATATTGAAACTTACAGGACGAACTGCAGTCTCACAACCTACAGGGTCTTCAGGAACCACACAGGGAAAGCAGATGCTGCAGCAACCCTCCTGCCCAAAACCCCATCCTCATACCTTTCTGTAATCAGTAAACTCTAGTAAAACTTCTAAGAGGCTGCTACACAAAACTTTCTGGTATTTAGGGTACACAGGTTACCTTTAACAGCAGTCACAAAAACATTAAGGCGTAGCTTGAACCTGACACAAATCCTAGGCAGTGACATATGTTTTCTTAACAGTTCTGTATTTGAAATCATTGCATAAATCAGATTTAGAAACCTGCAATCTCTGCTATGCTAACCGTGCAGAACGTAACTTGTATGAAGTAACCATGGTACAGCTCCTATGCAAGCTTAAGTAGTTAATACTGTAAAAAGCCCATACCTTATGAAACTGGTGATATAGACGTGAACAAAAGTGGCCATCAAGTACTGACAATCAAAGCGATCCATTATCCCACCATGCCCAGGGATTGTGTCTGCGAAATCCTTTTGGGTGTGAAGGACAGGGAGGGGGGGAAACAGAAAACCAACATGGTCAGTGATTCCAAAGAAACACACTAACAATGTGTCACTTGACAGCAGCACATTAAGGCCGCAATTAAGCTACGGTTTCACTGCACTGAGCCAAAAGTTAGCAAGAGCCTCCTTTGCTAAAGGAGTTTTTAACTGCAAAGGTGAGTCAAGGGGAGACAAGAAAAGAAGAGATGAAGCAACTTGTCCACAGTACCACACAGCAGGACAGCGGTAGGTCAGGTGCAGGTTTGCCAGTACTGAGTACGCTTGCGTGCCTATATACACTTCATTTTGTAGCACGCCTCTTAAGCTAATGGCTGTCGTTTCTTGCCTCTGCAGAATCTAATTCTCCTCTAATACTTCTGTTGCTTTATCCTGTACTGGTAGCTGCTGCTGAAGCACTTGTTACCAGGGAATATATATTTGCTACAAGAGAAGCAGCAACCTGAGGACTCTTTCCACTAACACTGGCTTTCCAAGTTGTACTGCCCATTCACCTGCCATTTTTTTCCGAGGGTTCTTGGTAACCATAGTTAAAAACCATAATGTGTGCATACAATATAGATATATTTAACAGAATCAAAAAACCCTGTAGTGAAAAAATTATTGCTACTTAAAAAAAAAAAATATTTCTGATGCAAACAAAGGTCGATACGCTACATTTGTGTTACCTGATCTTGTCTGTAGAACAGCTCTATCAGTCAAACTACCCTCATATATCCTCTTTGTCATCCACACTCACTTGTGCACTCGCTGGGTGAAAACCCCGACCTTAGTCATGCGGGGCAACTGCCAGCAAGTTAAACCAGTCCTGTGCCGGTGCCACTCCAGCCCTCCAGCGCTGGGCAGGCATGGAGTGTCTAACCCAACCTACGCGCTGCCTTCAGTAACAATTCCGCAATATCCCTGTCTCTTCCTGACAGTCCTTTGGTCACCACCTTGGGGCCCAGAAGTATTAAAAAAAAAAAAAAATCTACTTTTTAATGTTCTACTTTTTAAGAATAAGTGCTGCTTTTCAGAAGCATTTTTTTCCCCAAAAAGCCCTTCTTCACACAAACAGTCTTTTGCTACCTGGACGTACAGGTACGACAGCGCACGAGGCTGTAGCTAGCAAAGTGCCGGACAAGCGGCTTGGACAGGCACAAGAAAGAGGGGTAAGTACAAGCACATGTATGGGAGTTCAGCACAAACAGAGAGGTTCATATGCTTCTGTGCAAAGCACATGCCAAAACTGGTGGACATAGGGAACAACAACAAGAACAACAACAAGCAACAGGATAAGAATTACAGCAGTCCTACCAAGACATAAAGAAGGTCGGGAGAAAATTTGGGGCTGCCCTCTTCCCATTACTCCTGCTGCCACTTAATACCAGCCAGGGACAACACTGCCACAAGCGACAGCGCACACCTTGCAATAAACAGAGGTTAGCACGTCACATCGTTTGCCAATACACACTCTCGTTACAAGGCGGCACTGCATTGGCAAAGGCAGCCCAACATCTCATGCTTTGGTGAACCCGACAGGTCAGCATCTGCGTACAACACAAATACTATCGGTAAAACACAGCCAGCCACAATCTGAAGGGCAAACCACTGTTGGTGCGTCTTAGGCATCTACAGATTGCCTTTATGTCAAGTGTAATATCTCACATCTTGCTTGTCTAAACCACTTCTGCAACATGACTTGGAAGAGTAATTACCAACCAAAATATGAAACCAAATTATTCTTAGATTTCCAACACTGAAGTCACATGCTGATTATGCAAAGTTTTAAGAATAACACATACATATACCTGATAAAACGAAGTAGTGCTGCTGATGCTTAAAAAACAGCTCAAACATCATCACACCTTGGTAGAAACACTAGGTACTATAATGAACAATTAAAAAAAAAAGAAAAAAAAGAAAAAAAACAACAAACCCAACCCAGCAATTTATCTAATTCAAAGAGAAAACCAAAACAAAACCAGCTTACAGGAGTCATTACACACCTTGATTTTGAAAGCTCTTTTAAATCCACTGGCGAAGAATCCTCCAAATGGCCCAAGTAATGAGGCAAATGTTGACAGTGCAATGCTGTGCATCTGAAATGGGTACATGTTCACCGTTTCCTACAAGAAAAATAATTAGCAGTGTATTTCAATATGTTTGATTGTAGGCATTTTAAGCTTAAATATTTTCAAATGGGGCTGTTACAGAGCAAATTTCCACAAAGCTCCCGTTTTCCTGACACAATACTGTAAAGAAAGGAAAAGTGGACACACTGTAGAAAGCTGCTGAAAGGTCTGGCCTTGTGAACAGGGTGAAGTATTTGGGGTTGCCAGAGCAGTTAACTTCGACAAATGATGTGGTTTTCAGCCAATCCCTTAGTTGATCATAGGGAATACAACCACTAATTCCATAACGTATGATGGGACTCTCTAGTCTTTCCTAGCTCTGCTTTTCCAGCTCCATTTCCTGGAAACAAAGGATCTTTCCACAAATTCCTATTATTGTTCTAGTAAGTGGCCCAATGCTCTCCACAAACTTGTCACCTTCATGCAATTCACTGTCACTTCTTTCAGGTGCTCTCACAAGCTAGATAGGAATTTTGCACTAGTCCACCACACTGTCACCTTTGCGTACATACGGCAATAATGGGAGATAGAAGGGTTATCCCCATTAATATTTTTTGGGTTGCATTTAAACAGATCTTGTTCCCCCCAGCCTGTTCAGACTTGAAATATGTTTTGATCCATTCAAGTTCTTACAGATAAGGGAGACTTCACTGGCAACAGGTACCCGTTTTCCTTCCTGACACAGATTAGAAAAAAGGGGTTTTTTGGTTGGTTGGGGTGTTTTGGGTTTGTTGGGTTTTTTTGATTGGAGTTTTTTGGTTTGTTTGGGTTTTCTAGGTTTTGGGGGTTGGGGGTTGGGGTTTTTTTGTTTGTTTGTTTGGGGTTTTTTTGTAACTTAGCTTTGAGGACTTTCAAGTCAATAGTACAAGCTCCAGCCTTTGAGGGAATGCTATGCTGGCCTCATGCCCGAGAGCAGAGCACACCTCACCGGCAAGTCTTGATAAACACCATCTGTAGCTGAAAAATCCTGTACCTTGTGTTTCTAATTTGCATCACAGCTGGCCAACACCAATTAACTTCTTGACTACTTTGTGCAGTTGTCTTACGACATCTTTCTTTTAGGCTAAACTATTCAGTTGGTCAAACAGAAAAGTTTATGAGTTGGAATTAAGTCAATTTTGTTGGGAGAACACAAGGCTCGACATCTTTTGACGCCAAGCAAAATGTCTTCCAAACATAACGTGGTCATATTTCTGAGAGAGAACATCAGGAACTGAGTAACAGAGGGAAAACCAAAACCAGACTGTTGCTCAAACAAGTAGATTCAATTTGACTTTCTATAAGGAGTGCTAAAAAGAATTCTCTCCTCAAAAGGCGTGTTAGAGCCTGGCAAAAGTACTCCAGAAGTGCAGAAGTCATCTCTTTTTAGGGTTAACTGACAGCTCTCTATTACACTGGCACAGAGCTGGGCATTCCCATCTCCTTGCCCTTTACCAAAATACATGATACAGCTGGACACCGTAGGATTTCTCTCTGCTCAGTCCACATTATGTTTTTGTGCAGAAAGATCCTTATTAAATTTGCAATCAACCCCACAGTCCCTGAAGCAACAGTACGTTCATTTGGTATGAAAATATTGGAGCTCCTAGATGGAATCTTACTTTTCTAAGTGTCAACTGTAGCCATTAATTACTTTTAGTCTTAGGTTTGGTGGCTGCAGTTTCCAGTTTGTGCTTTCTTCTTGGAACCACATCAACTTTTCTTCTTCAGTGTTACACCCACGTAACCACAGGTAAAGCCCGCTGCCTTCCCTAGCGCTGTGCGCTCGCTCTCTGTGCTGAGCCACTGCACAGGCGAGGGGAGCGCTGCAGAACCCACTTGTTCTGCGTTTATCCCAGTCACCTCCTCTTTGCCCTAAAGGAAAGAATGACAGACTGCTTTGTTTCTATTTGGTGTTCTCTTCCTGTTGAAGCGCCTCTGGAGCCTGTGACTTCGGAAGCACTGCGTTGTATAGTAGGATAACTGATGACCCATTTCCTGACTGGTAAAGATTCAACAGCTCACTTCAAAGAATTTGCAGGCTGGCTGTGAGGAAAAGGGTCGGTGACTACGTTACATGGAACTATTACTGGTACTCCTTTTCCACTCAGCACGGAAGTAATGGCACCAACGCACAAGATGCCATGTGGTGAAGAAAGTACGAGTCCAATGCTAACAGCAGTTACACACTTGCTGAAAATGGAATGAAGTTCTACAAGATTACTTAAGCCTGCTACTAATTCGGGTCATAACTAGCCTTTGTCCACTTTCCACAAAAATTTAAAGGCTGCTCTTCAAAAATAGGTTTGTCTGCAAAATGCTTAAGTGACACCCATTTCCAGCACCAAGAGAATACAGGCCACAAGAGCGCAGGTGGGTTTGCTTGGGTGACTCCAGCAATGCATTTCAGTTCTGCTTGGGTGACCACCTCCCCTATCTGAGCAACAGAGGCGCTCACGGCATCGATTCAGTTCTTACCCTTCAAGCCCCACCAGCATTCATGTACCTTTCTAAAAAGGTTTAGAAAACTATTCAAGCTGGGAAGTACGATTTCTGTTTTAACCAAAGCCTTGTTTTTTTCCTTACCCATCCCAGCACAGCCTGAAGCAATGGTGGCACAGAGTACTTCTTCATCTGAAAGAGCTCTGAAGGTTCACACTCTGTCACAAATCTGTTGCTTTCACTGTTGTATTCCACAGGGCAGACAAAGTACTGATGTTGAGCCAAAAAATAGGAAAACTGAAAAGCAAACCAAGAACTCCTGAAATAGGCATTTGTTGTTACAGTCAAAAATCACACTGTAATGGATGGCTTTGTCATCGCAAGCTGAGGATAATGAAAATCTTTTTAATAACAGAGGGACCCAGAATGGTTTAAAATTGGCCTGTTTAAGTTGGAGAATGCCTCAACAAGGCAGACAAATGTGGACGTTCAATGCGCTTAGTGATGATTTCCCAACTTGTTTTCCTTTTCACATGTCTCAGATTTATATCTACTGAACATTTCTGCATTATAAAATCCCAAACTGTTAGCCACTCATCATTTCTTTGCAGTTCACTTCTCCATTAAAACTTGAACTATCGCTTCTACCAAGTTTGGCAGTTACGAGTTCTGCTGACCTTGGTGATAAGTTACTTATCAGAACAGTTACTGTAAAGTTATTATCTTCCATGCATATCATCAGTGTAAACTACTTCTCAGGAGAAATGTCATTATAAAGTATGTAATACAAAAGTACTACTTTACAAAGCATAAATAATGCTATCAAGAAACTTCAATTTCAAAATAGAGATGCAGCTAATAGATAAAATAATTTCAGATATAGTAACAGTAATGGCAAAAATGGTCCATACAACCTATTCAGGAGAGGTGCAAGCCTTGCCTAACCTTTCCAGCTAGTTACAAATTGGCAGAGTTCTCTAGCCAAAAAAACCCCTAACTCTTAGGCTTTCAGCGGTTTGAGATGACCAAATTTGTCAGTAATTTTACTTCAAGTAAAAACAGGAAGTTGAAGACTGAACCTGCACAAGGGAAGTCTCGTGGTTACTTACAATAAATCCAAACACAACTGTGGAAAAGAAGCCTCCAATGAACCCTTCCCAGGTCTTCTTGGGAGACAGCTAGGCACAAAAGAGATAGCATTAACCTCATCAGTTGCATCACTGAACTCTTTTTTACTCTATTTCTGGACCTTGTTTGTGAAAATTAAGCTCCTACTTGGTTTGTCAAAGGTATGTGTGAAATACTGAATGTCAGCAGCTGCAGCCACTGAACATGATAAATAGAGGAGTATGGCTAGGACCTGTCCCAGGCAAGGAGAGGGGAAAGGGCTGCAGTTTGGTTGGTGCCGCTGGGCAGCTTGAGGGGACGGAGAGCTCCCTTCCTATCTGCTGCTACCGCCTGGAGGCTGCTGCCTGCCTCTGGCCACAGCTGACCCTGATTGAACAGCTGAGTTCCTTCAAGCAGAAGGCTTGGAAACCTGCACAAGCGTCCTATGGCTCTGTGGAGACCTCTGCTAGCAACTGCACATTTAGATAGCGGCAGAAGCCTGCGTGTGAGACAACTACTGCCGGGGACGCTCCTGGGGAGACACTAGCTTCCTACAGACAGACTGGCAAACTAATACAGCAAATAACTGCAGGCCTAGAGAGACCAGCATAGCAAGCTATTTTCTTCATCAAATTCTATCACATTTTCAATTTAGGAGCAGCTTAATATCAGAACCAACTAAATACCCAGAAGTTAACAGGGCAACATCACGAAAATAATAATTCATGGCTTTCTGTGGGGTCTAGCATATTCTACCAGAATAGGAAGACTACTACTTGCGCCCTTCTCAGTGCTACAGCAAAAAGACCAGATGAGGAACAGGTTTATATGACCTAGCAGCTTATTTCAAATTACAGTTTCTGGACAGTAAGCACGCAGTTAAACCTGCATATGAAGCCCAAAAAGGAAGCGATTATAAATGATGATGCAATAGGCTTGAACTGTATTATACTGTAGTGTCAATATTACGTTCACATTAATCCCAGGTTCCACTCACAAATCTTCAGAAACAGGACAGTCAATTTTTATTTTTTTTTTAGCAAAGATGCGTATCATGCAGTACAGCGGAAAGTATTTTTTCCATGAACATGTTTTTGAATAAGTATCAAAAATGCTATAAATTGTAAAAGCTTGTTAGTGAGGAAGTGCCTAAGTACATACCTTAATTAATGGAGTTCTGCCAAAGAAGAATCCAAAAATGTAAGCAGTAATATCATTGCAGATAACACTTGAAATTGGAACCAGAAACCTAGAGAAAGACATTAAAAGTTTCCTGGAGAAAAAGAAAAGCTGCCCAAACCTAAATACATGACAGAAATTGGAACAGCAGCATTTCTTTCTGGGAAATTTTTCTGTAGTATTTAGAAGGAATTATGTTGCATAACTTATTCACCTAGCTCCCCCACGAGCAGCACATTTAGCTAGACTGGTTTTAGTCTTCAGCCGATCAAGACTGTTACAGATCCATGCTAGTTCAAGTTAAAATATGATTTTGGTGCATAAGCTTAAAACGTAAACAGGCTGGCTTTTTGCTTATCAGGCTTGAAGACTGGTACCACAGTTAAGAAGAAATCAACAGATATAAACATGTTAATGTTATTGGTAACATCAAAACAAGCAAATTCCTTGTGAAGTTTAATGATACCTAAATTTAAAAAAAAAAAAAAAATTCCTTTTTTTCCTCTTGTCAGTTTGGAGCAGCCTGTGTTAGCTTTCGAACTGTTATTTGCATGCAGACGGCATCTGAATTTGTTACTTACTCAAGCCTGTTAACCTCTTTTTTTCCCCTTTTCAAAGCAGGGATGTATTAATAAGCTAAAAGTCAGATTTTGTGACCATCTGCCAAATTGCCGAGCACCAGTGGAAATAAGAAACAGTAGGCGAGCAAGGCAACTAGGTTCAGTTTTTGGCACATGAACATGATCACTATGAAAAGAATTTTTTTATAAAAACTTTGTCAAAGGCTTTGCATTTTCTTTCTAACTATGAGCACGTCTTTTCTGCAATAATCTCCCCAGTTGTACATATATCAGGAAAAGAAAAAGGAGAACATGCAGTATTATGTCCTTAGAAGAACACAAATCATCTTCCATGTGCTTCTTCCTTCTTTCTCGACTTGTAATTTACCCTGTCCCTAAAGAACAGGGGGGTGGGAAAACACAGCCTCTCTTTGGGGAGCGGTTTTAAGTAATCAAGTTTAACTGCATCATCAGAATTTAATATATTGCTGGAAATGGGGCATTAAGATGACTCAACGATATCCAAGATTTAAACTCTTAGAATACTTTAAGCAATCTGAATTTATCTGAACAGGTAAGGCAGCAGGGAAGGCAGCCAGATTGGGGATTTCAAATTAAATGCTCCAGCTTCAATAGTTGTGAGCAACGTGAAGCTCCCAAGCAATTGAAAAAGAATTGCTGGATATTCATCCATTCAGCAAAATGCTATGAAAACGATTTCACCAAGCTTGCAAGCAATCCTATTCCTTGCAAGTAAATGAAGTGGTTGTTCAAAACTATCATACTTGTGGCTGCCAATCTAGTTCGAGAGGCTTCTGCTTCCTCTCCTGGATCCTTTAACTCATTGCTCCCAATTCCCCCGACTCTCCTTCCAAATAGACATTAAAGCTCCTTTAATTCATGCTGCTTTAACTGTTCCCACGATTATTCCCTAACCAGATCTACGTAAAAGAACCAGCCTTTCAATGCAAGAGAGTTACAAATCAGTTTATTACTGTCCCCTTACCAGATCATGCCTTCAAAGAGATTTTGGATGACAAGATGAGATTGAGTTACAGTGATCAGCAAAGTGACATGAGTCCATGCGAACTGTTAACAATGCAACAACACAACGGTTAGTGAAAACACCGATCCATACACCTTGATAAATACTGGCGTGTCAGCTAGAGGAGCTTACTTAGGAGCTCACAGGAAAGACCACCTCTAGTGATAATGCAAGAGATGTGTGCATACAGTATATCACAAGTTAGCTGGCTTTCTGAAGCAAGTACTGAAACTTTAACGGGCTTCCCTATCACTTACCTCCACCCAGAATTTTTTAACGTGCAGTTTAACATCTGATTTAATAAGACATACACCTTCAGCATGAAAGCAGCAAAGAAATGTAAGCAATGTGATATTCTGTATATACATATAACAGACATGTTAGAACTGTAACAATAAAATGGCAATGAACTACTCATGAAAGAGTCATGTTACACAGATGTGGGTATCTCTCGTAACAGAATACCAGTCCTCTTATGAAACATAAAAATTCTCAGGATTAGTGAAAAGAAAGTGTTCATTTTATGCACACGGTCATTTAAACAGTCATTTTCCTCAGTATTACTGTACGTACTTGGTGTATATTCTGAAGCACCAGTGTGCAATAAAGTGGTTTCCAAATGGTTTACCAGTAAAGATTCTACAATAGATTTTATTTTCAAAAAACTTTTAAATCAAGAACTGGTAGTTTTTCCATGAAACACCAAATTTAAGCACTCTAAATATATGGGCAATTTAACACTCGTAATGCCCTTCTTTAATTCTCTTATCACATGTGTTTTTCTATGGCAGCCAGCATCTACTTCCAGTTAAGACAACTCAAGAAGGCTGAAAGAGGGGGTGCAAGAACTGACTAAAGGTTTCTGAAAATATTACCTGCTGGTTAATTAAAGCACCTCTGCAGCAAAATTTTTAGTATTTGTACAGTGATATTGGAACACCACCTAAAACCGAATGGCTACTCGCCTTGTCTGTCTAAACACTGTGGTGCCAAACAGCGGACACACAGCTTCCCTCTGTTTTACTACAATTCTTAGCTAGTCACACCTTATGTTTTCTGGGCGGGCACCAAGTCATATGACTGACACCACATTTTTTCTGCCTTCTTTCCAGAAAGGGAAAAAGGAAAAAAAAAATCATGGAAAATAAATATATTTACCATGAGCTAATCTGAAGATGAGGACGTTATTTGCAGATTAGAAGATAAAGACCACCTCTCCTAGAAAAGCTGTATCTCCCTGTCAGGCAAGTTTTCCCACAAACAGGGCAAATTTTTGAGTAAAAGATTTTTTTACATGCTCATACAGGGCTCAGCTAAGTCCTAGTCTAGAATTAAGGATCCTCAATGGTAACATGCTACCTAAAGCACTGTAGAAACAGAGGGGTTAACTGCATCCCTAGAGCTTTAGGAAATCTTTAAGGTCGCACAGTGCCCCGACTGCGCAGTTTCTTTAAAGAGAGGAGCTGTACTGCATTACTGTTTCACCGTTGCTTCTAATCATTCTTATATAGAAGGGGGTGTGTCTGTGTTCAGTGGGGTTTTTTGGGTTTGGTTTGGTTTTGGGTGGGTTTGGGGATTTTGTTTTGTTTTCTTTAACCTGTGATGTTACAAAATCAGTTTTCGACCTATAAGTTACATGTAAGAAAAAGATTCATGCTCTTGATTAGCTACTACGCTGTTTATTAGGTGGACAAATACAAGAGATGAGAACACTGGTTTCTTTGAATAGATGAATGATCTATTGAGGCACAGCGGAGCAGAAAACCAGAACTGCTGTTAAATGTCACAGAATAAATCCTCCACATAGGGGTTAAGATCAAGTTCCCTTCATAGTACTTCAGTGGGGCCTCTACCAAAGTAACACTTGAGTCACAAGAACCACTTCCCACACTATGCTGAACTATTTGGCTTCAGACCTGGGAGGGAGGTGCACACCCCTTTCTCCAGGAACCTCTTTTGTATCCGCCTGTCACTAAGGGAAACGTACCATGTTGTACATGCACAAGGCCTCACCAATGACAGCTTGTATTGACTGAAAGGCCACGTCCCATCGTATAATAATAATAAGCTGCAAGGTGAACAGATACTGAACAGCCCAACACCACTTGATTTCATGGTACTGTCAGTTTAACCACATTTTCCACACCCCTCTTCCAAGCCATTTCATGAACATAGGGACATGACTGTTTCTAGTGACATTCATAACGTGAGTGACCACAGCAAAGTGGGTAATACACACCATGTAAAACTGCAGACGATAATGTTTCTTCACTAAACTCAAAACAAACATGCAGAAGCCTGTAAAACAAAGCAAGTGTAGTTTGTACCATCTTATTCAATTATACTGAACTGTGATATACCAGTAATTCTCTTCCCCTGAAGCAGCTTTTAATCTCTCTGCTGCTAGGAGCGTTTGCTTGTATTCAGTTAAGCGTACATATAGAATTATTGTCATTCGAGCACAAGATTTAGTTAACATCAGTAGAGAGCATCCATTTCATTATTTACAAGGTCCCATCATAGACATCAGTTTCTAGGAGAGGAGACCATCACCTTTAAAAACCACTCAAAAATCAGGTCGACAAGCTGGTTTTGAATAATTAACAGAAATAATTGAAAGGAAAAGACCAGCTTGCCCCTCTTCCCCAGACAGGCACACGGCTGCATGCAACGCCAGCGTGAAGTGCAGATGTTGGAGAATTCAGCTGACTGAAAGGAACATTCCGGGTGGCTAACAGAGCACCTCTTCTCCCCTAGGGCAATCTCCTGCACCAACAGGGGCCAGAGGCCCTCAGAAGACCCTTAACCCTGGGGACAGCCCCTCAGGGACCCCACGATCCCAATGCGACAGCCGCCAAGGGGCTCTGCTATGCTCTGCCTCCTGCTGTTGCTCATGACTGGCTTGTCTCATCTCTCCCCTCACCGCCCTTCAGTGGTCACGAGGCATTAGTTAAGTTAGCTTCCTCAAGCCAAAGCCAGCTGAAAAAGGTCAAGTCTTGCAAAGCTGGTTTCAAGTTTGTGATCTAAGCACAGAGTAGAATTTTTATCTGGTTTAAAAAAAAAATTAACAGTAGACAGACTGACAGTTCATCATGAAGATCAGGTTTCTTAATAGATTTTATAAGTATTTGTAGCATAGCAGTCTCCTCTCCCTTAGCCCAACCTGAGTCTTCAATTGATTTAATTTTAAGCTAAAGTAATATTAACTGCATTGCTGAAAACAATGTGGACTATATTTACATGTTCACAAAGCGATACCCCCAAAGACTGCCAGCTTATGTCTCTTCTTGCTAGAGAAGAGGCTTTTAAAAAGTCTTTCTTTGGATAGGGAGGAAAATCTATCCATGAGGCAAGCATCTGAATATCTTTCAGACAAAATAAAGCCTCAGACATTTTAAATAATCAGTTTAAAATATACTGGTAAATCTTATTGCTGTAGACCTAGCAGAACACGTGCACAATAAAGCATCAACCCAGGACAGCAATTACACATACAAGTCATCTCCACAGACTGCCAAAATACTGTTCATGTATTCAGGTACTGAGCCCCAGTTCTTCAGCGATCAGAATTAATTCATGCCAACTTCTCTCGAGCGCTATTAGCTCAATTTTCTCAAGATCATGTACTTGTTTAGGCTGCTTTCTTCTTCTCAGTGAATGCAAAATTTATATTCATCTTTTCACAGGAAAAATGGAACTGCGAACATCTCATTTCCACAAACATGAAGAGGAAAAAGAAACTGAAAGTGCATAAAGCTGGGGAGCAATTATTTTTTAAAAAAAGAAAGAAACACAGAAACAAATGCCGCACAAAGTTCTTTCATTTTTGCAAGTTCCTACACTTACCTGTTAAATAGAGCGCAAAAGATATAAATCTGTGGTAACGAATTAGGAATTGAAGCTGTTCTCTTCTCTGAACAAATGTAGCGAAGTAATCAGCTACAGTCTCTCCATAAAAGAAGTAGTTCACACACAGCAAGAAGTACCTACAACATACAACAGCCAGCAGTTATTTTAACAAAATAAATATATATTTAAGTATCATTCTTAAAAACCAACTAAACAAAAAAACACAACAAAAAACACCATACAAAAGGAAAACCAGAAGGGTAGAGAAGACGTGATAAAAATAAAATTCAAGTGTAAATCCAGTCTTATACTTCGGGGTTGGTGTCTCCTCTGACAAGCCAATTTTTGTAATTTACTTCTAAAGCAACCGCACTAGAAAAACAAACACATTTCGCAGGATACACTTGGAAAATTCATTTCATCCTTATCTACAGTATTGAATACTCCACGCCTACGCGAGTCCTTTTCAGATATTCTAAAGGTAGAGAACAAGCATCTGCTATCATCGATATTCTGCAGATTCTTTTCCTGTATCCTAATAAGGGTAGTTTGTGATTTCTGCCTTACAAAGAGGGAAAAGGTACTTGCATAACGAATTCTCTGAGGTTACAGGACAGCGAATCTGACACGGGGCTGGAGGATCTGAATGCAATTATACTTTTGCCATCTGGCCTGAAGATTCTCATCTGAAAGAGTTACTGCTGCATCTCCTGCTCCACTCCACCACGTACTTTGCCTTTTAGCTTTCTTGACTGAGCAATAATCTTACAGGGTTAAATCTATTAACTAACTAGTAAATGCAGCTATTACTACAACTTTTTCAAAACAATTTTGTGGGAGTATGTCTACACTCAAGGTTCAGCTGAGGTGAAACGTGACCTTCAGCCATCTCTTTTTGAAGGATCTTAAAAAAAATTCCTCTCAGTCAAAACAGTCAGCACTCAAGTAATTCTGTCACAGGTTTCCATACAACTTCAGTTACTCAGATTTCCAGAGTTAAGTCACAAGAGGATCCTCAAATGCCAAGGCAGCACTCAATAAAAACCAATAAATAGTAAATCCAAAACCACTAGGAGATGCAGCTCTCTAGGCAACATACTCCTCGGCTTATTACCAAAGTCAGCCGCAGAAGATAAACTTGTGATTCAAGACTGGATCTCTGGACAGTCTCATAGCGATCAGTACTCATTCTCTTCCCCCTAATAGATGTTAATGCTCACTTTGCAAGGCTTCACATCTCTAAATAAGCCAAATAGTTGATGTTCAGACTACTAACAGGATTCTCTCATCTCCTTGAAATGTCTTAGTGGCAAGATGTTGGACTGAAAGGAGCTTTGATGGTAACTAGTGTGGCAATGCAGAGGAGTTGATTTTGAGCTCCACATCTGCAAGTGACGGTGGACAACTGCCAAAGTAGACTAAGTGGTAGAGTGCACATCTCCTCCTCTAAAAATTTTGGCAAGACCACAGAATCATTCATGTATGAGTCTGCTCTAGCTGTAGATCCAGGAGCCATGGAATAAAGCAGACAATAGATCAGTCCCCTGGATAATCCAGGAGTGACCAGAGGGGAGATCCACCACATTACACGGTAAAGTTGCTTCTAGAAATGGAGAAGCAATGTGACAAGAGACAACCTAGATATTTCAATTCCTTAAAAAACCCAAACCCAACACAAAACCAAAACAACACAACATAGGTCATGTCTGAAGAATTATGTCCCTAAGCACCTTAGAGACTACATGTGCCCAACACCTTCCCATAACACTGACTCTAATCAAAAGCCTTTATTTTGCCTCCCAGAACTCAGAAGAAGAGTCGACTGGACATTGTCACAAGCATCCGGGATTTGCCAGAAAAATTAAACTCATCTTTTGGCTTTCAGAAGATCCCTCAACACTATATTTATGCAGTCCTGTGATTAAGTGCACGATTGGAAAGGATTTAAAACTTTTACGTTATTATTTTAATTCGCTGTGTGTGCGAAGAGGAGCCTTTCTATTTATTTCTTGTGCAAGGTTAACAGCCACAAAAAAAACCAAAACCCACACACAAAACAAAAAACAAAACAACAAAAAAACCCATGAAGCAGTTCAGGTAACACATATGAGGTGATTATTTGGCTATGCACATTTTTAGATATCTTACACATGCTCAATTCTGACTTAAAGCATATATGCATGCATACACATACGTGTACATATATACATATTTATAACAAGGAAAAATAATTGAAGTAGTAAAAGGCCAACTGACTTGTCTAAGTTCACAGGTGGAAGACAACTACAGAAGGCTGCATTAGAGACAGCTGTCAAGTTTTATGTCTGCACATGACGGACAAAGCTATCATTCCACCATGACCGGATATGAAGAACATGAAGATTTAAGTTTAACGTCCCTACTTATTGATGTTCTTGCTTGCTACTCACCAGCTGAGGGATCTAAACCATGGTAAGTCATACGAGTGGTAGACTCTGTAACCTATAGTAATGATTTCATGGTAACACTTCACTTGGATGCTTAAGACCTAAAATAAGAGAAATAAAAAACTATGTAAATATGCTGCCGTTGTTTCTTAAAGGCAGTAAGTAGTACTGCAACATGCATTAAGAAGAGAAATTATTCTGAATTCAAATTCCACACAGAAAACGGACAGCTTCAAAGCGAGTCCAAGGAAAACTAAAGCTCCATTTAAACCCCCCACAAAACTTCAAAACCACTAGGCAAGCTGAGAAAAAACACATTGGGCTAGTGTCCTGTTTTCGGCTGGGATAGAGTTTATTTTCTTCCTAGTAGTTGGAATAGTGCTGTGTTTTGGATTTAGGATGAGAATAATGTTGATAACACGCTGATGTTTTAGTTGTTGCTGAGCAGTGAGTACTAAGTCAAGGACTTTTCAACTTCTCATACTGCCCTGCCACCGAGGAGGCTGGAAGTGCACAAGAAGCTGGGAGGGGACACAGCCAGGACAGCTGACCCAGACTGGCCAAAGGGATATTCCATACCATATGACATCATGCTAAACAAAAAAAAACCTGGGGGAAATTGGCCAGGGGGCATGGCCGCTGCTTGAGAACTGGCTGGGCATCACTCAGCGAGTGGTGAGCAATTGCATTGTGCGTCACTTGTTTTGTGCATTCTTTTATCATTATTATTTTCCCTTCCCCTTCTGTCCTATTAAATTATCTTTATCTGAACCCACGAGTTTTACCTTTTTTCCAATTCTCTCCCCTATCCCACTGGGGGGAGTGAGTGAACGGCTGTGTGGTGGTTAGCTGCCTGCTGGGTTAAACCACAACAGCTAGCTGCAAGAATATGCTTGTGAAACAAGGGAAAGCTCCTGACTTTTCTTCATTAAAACATTTTGGCAGCAGCAGGTCAAAAGTACTTCCTGTAAAGAAGGCTCTTCTATTTCTTTTGGCTAAGTTTTATCTTTAAATTTAGTTTAAGAAATATTTTCTAGGCCCAATGGAAAAAAAACTAGCTGTGCAACACAACTTGGACACCCAGGTCTTCCACTTGCAAGCGTCTCATTAAGGGCAATTAGCATTGATGATTAGAAGCAAAGCTTGTCTAACCCAGGTCTAAACATCACATCCTCCACAGCTTTCATTTTGTTTTGCTGATTTCACTACTTCAGTGCTTGCCCATGCAAGTCTGGTAGTAGGTCCTGTCAGTCTTTGGGCTCCAAAGGACTCTCTGCCATTTGTTTCTAATCCACAGTCACCAAGCAGATCGCCCTGCCCAGATATCCAGTACTGCCAAACACAGGTCATCAGTAATCCCGTGCAGGGGCAGGAGTAAGAACCTACCCAGGCTGATTGCGCACGTCGGCATGCTAGGCTTTGCAGTATTCTCTTACCACCTGCATTCATGAATAAATTTCATCTTGCTCAACATGCAAACACAATTTAAAACAGTCTTACACCACCTCAGTGAATTAATTTTTAAGCTCCCCTATCTCGTGCTCTTTGTTCTGCTTGGCCTATGTTATAAAACTTAAATGCTATACGCAACAGCAACATTAAAGGATCGCACCTTACAGTGAAAAAGGACACTGGGGTTCAAAGGCATGGAAGCTTGTGCCTGTTACCTTAGTAGCAGGCAAATGTAAAACATGCCTCCCAACTTTTTAGAGCAGTCTCAGGGCTTGTCCTCCGAACACCACTGGATTACCCTTCCTACAAGTCTCTGGGCATTTTCAATCTCAGAATTAAGATTTGGTTTTAACATGACAACTCGGGTTTAAATGTAAGCTATTTCATTGCAGTGAAGTGAAATAATTCATGAACAAAACTGTTTTTTCCCTCCATTCTTCTTTTTACATAGTCTCAAATGTCCACTTTATGAACAGTTTATTACATTAGAAGACAGAGTTTTTGCTTTACGGTACAACAGAGGCAGAACTCTATTCCAATTCTATACTAACTTTAATTACTTTTTGCTTCATCTCTTGATAGCTTTGCCCATGATTGCAATCTCAGAGTATATAATGAATATACCAAATCATGCTGCAAATTGATTAGTTCCTTGTTGTTTGTTATCATCATTCCCAAGTATAACAGACTACTAAAGGAAGGACTGCAAAAAAATTATCTCTCTACAACAACCTACACTTTAAAGTGGCTTTTTTTGTTGTTTCTTCACATACAAAAAAGAAAATCCTCCACCAATGAAACAATGAATTACTAGTTTGTTATGTCATTCACTTGAAAACAGGAAATATAAAACAGACTAATTCAGATGTAGACCATACGCACATCATAATACTGGTGAAACAGCATTCCAGTCTCTCAAGATAATTTAGGAAAAAAAAGGGAGTTTACGACCTTTGGAAGAAGGGGCAGGCAACTCAGGAGGACTACAAGGATGTCATGAGGTTATGCAGGGAGAACATTAGAAGGGCCAAAGCCCAACTAGAACTTAATGTGGCTACTGCCGTAAAAGATAATAAAAAATATTTGTAAATACATTAGCAACAAAGGGAGAGCTAAGGAGAATCTCCATCCTTTCTTGGACGCAGGGGGAAATACAGTGACAAAGAATGAGGAAAAAGCTGAGGTACATAATGCCTTCTTTGCCTCGGTCTATAATACTCAGACCAGTTATTCTTGGGGTACCCAGCCCCCTGAGCTGAAGGACAGGGAGCAGAATGAAGCCCCCATAATCCAAGGGGAAATGATTAGCAACCTGCTACACCACGTAGACACACACAAGTCTATGGGACCAGATGGGATCCACCAAAGGGTACGGAGGGAGCTGGTGAAGGTACTCACCAAGCCACTTTCAATCCTTTATCAGCAGTCCTGGCTAATTGGGGAGGTCCCAGTTGACTGGAGGTTAAGCAAATGTGACACCCATCTACAAGAAGGGCTGGAAGGAGGATCCAAGAAACTACAAGCCTGTCAGTCTGACCTCGGTGCTGGGGGAGGTTATGGAGCAGATCATCCTGAGTGCCATCAGGTGGCATGTGCAGGACAACCAGGGGATCAGGTGATCATCAACCCAGTCAGCATGGGTTTATGAAGGGCAGGTCCTGCTTGACTAACCTGATGATCTCCTATGACAAGCTGACCTGCTTAGTGGATGAGGGAAAGGCTGTGGATGTTGTTTACCTGGACTTTAGTAAAGCCTTTGACACCATTTCCCACAGCATTCTGCCGGAGAAACTGGCTGCTCATGGCTTGGATGGGCATACTCTTTGCTGGGTGAAAAACGGGCTGGATGGCCCGGCCCAAAGAGTTGTGGTGAATGGAGTTAAATCCAGTTGGGGGCCGGTCACAAGTGATGTTCCCCAGGGCTCACTACTGGGGTGGGTTCTGTTCAATATCTTCATCAAGGACCTGGATGAGGGGATCGAGTGCACCCTCAGTAAGTTTGCAAATGACACCAAGTTGGCTGGGAGTGTTGATCTGCTGGAGGGTAGGAAGGCTCTACGGCCAATGGCATCCTGGCTTGTATCAGGAATAGTGTGGCCAACAGGTCCAGGGAAGTGATCGTCCCCCTCTACTCGGCACTGGCGAGGCCACACCTCGAGTACTGTGTTCAGTTTTGGGCCCCTCCCTACAAGAAGGACGTTGAGGTGCTGGAGTGTGTCCAGAGAAGGGCAACGAAGCTGGTGAAGGGTCTAGAGAACAAGTCTTAGGAGGAGCAGCTGAGGGAACTGGGGTTGTTTAGCCTGGAGAAAAGGAGGCTGAGGGAAGACCTTATGGCTCTCTACAACTACCTGAAAGGAGGTTGTAGGGAGGTGGGGGTTGGTCTCTTCTCCCGAGTAACAAGTGATAGGACCAGAGGAAATGGCCTCAGGTTGTGCCAGGGCAGGTTTAGATTAGATATTAGGAAAAACTCCACTGAAAGGGTAGTCAGGCACTGGACCAGGCTGCCCAGGGAAGTGGTTGAGTCCCCATCCCTGGAGGTATTTAAAAGCCGTGTAGCTGTGGCATTTAGGGACACGGTTTAGGGGTGGACTTGGCAGTGCTGGGTTAACGGTTGGACTTGATGATCTTAAAGGTCTTTTCCAACCTAAATGATTCTCTGAATACAATCCAAAAGGTGTTTCACAAGAGGCCATGAAAAAAGCAAAAGCACATTTCAACAGTTAAACAAACTTAGAGTAAAAAATCAAAGCAGTTACCCAGAAGTACCATTTCCAGTGTTTTAGAAGCCACATCCCTGCCTGTTACTTGCCATGACTGGGTAAGATAGTTAAACCATTACTCAATAAAAATACCAGCAATAAAAATGATGGAAAGAAGCAGTAAAGGCTGACCGGGTATGCAGGGTGGATTAATATTTTATTATTATTTCACTTCATGACCTAAAAATGCACTTTATCTCTGTACCTTGGAAAGGGATCTAACTCCATTCTACAGATAAACCCAAGGCCAGAAGGCAGCCCCGTAGAGAAGCAGGGAATTAACGAAGCATGCCTGAGGAAAGCCTTCCAGTGCCAGTGACAGCAGACCAGAGCTGCCTGCTTTCCTCAGCCTCAAAAAACCAACCTCTTGTGTCTTCATTTTTTTGGATTTGGGGTTGGGGGGGGGGGGGGAATTTTTTGAGTGTTTGTTTGGGTTTTGTTTGTTTGTTTTTTAAAACAAACCTCAAAGAATGTAACAGTAGGTGATGGGAACCGGACAAGGAAATGGATGACAGTAGCTTAGTAAACTTCAAGGCAACAATCGTTCAACTTCTTAGAGTTATTTTAATTCCTACTTAAAAAAAAAATTAATTACAGTATATAAGAATTCCTTAATCCACAAGGCCCAGTTGTGAATCTGTCCAGTGTTTTTCAAAAGTATTTACATTTACGCAAATAAGACACAAATTGCTCTGAATTGTCTGCGTGGTTTGCTTCCAGCTGTCTTAGGCACGATGAACGAAGCGAGCAAGTAATTCTTGCATGGCAGAATGTATTTAAACAAACTTACCAGAAGCATCAGCATAAATGATCCCAGGTATATGACCAGAAAAAACACAGAAATCATAGCTAGAGTGAGAATTCCACGAATCCACCAATTTTTCCATCTATTTAAAAAAAAGAGGGGAATAAAAAGCGAGCAGTTATAAATGAAAATAAATGCCACTTCTTTTACTAACTAGAGATTAAAGTGTATTAGAAACAGTGGGAGTTCCAGAAATTTTCTTCCTTATAAAACACATAGCAAGAAACACGGAATCAACCAACTATCCAACTAAGCAGGAGACACAGTAAAAGAAATTAAAGTTAGCCACCTTTCTTCTTCCCCCATGCTCCCCCCCACCAAACGTCATTTGCAATTAAATGGACCAACCCCATATTGAAGCTGCTGTGAAAATACACCAGGACCCTCAAAAAGCATCAAGAGTCAGCAAGATTGATGGGGGCCCAGCCATGTAAAGGCTTACATATGAAAGACAGGCTGCTAGGTAAAAGCATATGATGCTTTGAGGAGTAACAGACAAAAAAAAAAAAAAAAAAACAACCAGGTGATCACCAACTTTCCATAGCGGCAAAGTAGCTATTTTGCCAGGTAGAGGGTTATCTATTTATCGCAGTCCTGTGCTCTTGTGAGCACTGGAACTAGGACAGGAAAACATGTGACAACGAGGAGTGATGGGTCAAATACATATCAAATGATGTACTCTTTTGCCCTTGTAGACCTTTGCAGCTGCTTGTGGCTACCTAATCAAAGCAAAATAGAAATTCCCATTACCATAGAATCATGTCATCATTTAGGTTGGAAAACACCTTTGAGATCATCAAGTCCACCACTAAACCATGTCCCTAAGCACCACATCTAGATGTCTTTTAAATACCTCCAGGGATGGGGACTCAACCACTTCCCTGGGCAGCCTGGTCCAATGCTTGACCACCCTCTCAGTGAAGAAATTTTTCCTAATATCCAATCTAAACCTGCCCTGGCGCAACCTGAGGCCATTTCCTCTGGTCCTATCACTTGTTACTTGGGAGAAGAGACCAACCCCCACCTTGCTACAACCTGCCGTCACGTGGTTGTAGAGAGCCATAAGGTCTCCCCTCAGCCTCCTCTTCTCCAGACTAAACAACCCCAGTTCCCTCAGCTGCTCCTCCTAAGACTTGTGCTCCAGACCCTTCCCCAGCTTCGTTGCCCTCCTCTGGACACGCTCCAGCACCTCCATGTCCTCCTTGTAGGGAGGGGCCCAAAACTGAACACAGCGGTGGGTTTTTTTTGTTTTTTTTTTTTTTTTTTTTTTTTTTAATTTCTAGAGTAACCAAAATGTTATTTCCCATGCCCTCTACACCCCCAATCCCCTGCCCGCAAAGGCCATTATCAGGAAAAATTAAGAGCCCAGTTCATTTAAAAAAAAAATAGTTTAAAAAAAAAAACCTCATCACATGCCCCACTCTGCCATGGAAGTGTTTCTAGTTACCAATAGTCTGTATTTTATTGTTCATATTACTTTTCAGTAAGTTTTTCTCCTCTTTTGCCCGTGTTTTTCCCTTCAAGAATTTTGCCTCTAAAAGTACACTGAACCAGCAAATCACAAGTTACTGCTAAACACAGAAAACCCTACTATAGCTTAAAGAAATTCGTTCTCATGTTTTGCTTTCTATCAGCCTTAGTGTTTCATTGCTGCATCAGGAGATACACCTGATTCAGGGGGCACTTAGTTTTGCATCATATTCCAGTTTTAATGTAAACTTCAACTATATTAATGTGATTTTCAAGGATGCTATTCATCAGCAGGTTAATGGCAGCTAAAGACACTAATTGGATTTGCCTTAAGCATCAGAACAAAGGCACAACGGGCTTTATCACAACAGATGTTTTCTGTTCCTCTATGTCGTGAACTATAGAGTAGCAGCTTGCTCCTAGTGGCATATCTATAGTGAGCCAGACTCCTTAAGAAGAATTCAACTTCCCTTAAGAACAATGTTAAAATACCACATAGGATCTTGAGGGCGTTGACAAGCACAGCACCGGAAAGACAGCTTCAGTAAGACAACAAGCTCCAGAATCTAGGAAGCCACCTGACAAGTTTATTGTATCCTAACTCTCCACTGGAAAGTTACAGATGCTATTTCCTCTAAAGGCCAAATACAAAAAGAATCAATATTTCTGGGAGTTACAGTGCAACTCATGTTGAGCGCTATGACAACAGCTCTGGTGGGACTGCCAGTTACTAAACTAGCAGGTAATTTTCAATCTAGCATTCATAAAGCACCAAGAATTTAATTTTGCTCTCAAAGCACCTTTGTGCACCTTTGTGCAAACACTCCAATAAAGACTTTGAAGCGTGTGAAACAGGAAAGGTTTTGCCTGTGCCTCTTAGTATCACCATGCAAGCGCCCTTTGGAACGAATCTGATTTGGAGACTTAGGACTTGCACAACATTTAACATGGTAAGAGAACTCTGAAAGCAATAGGAGCTAGATACTCCTCGCAGTGTGATGGCAGTAGAGAACATCACATTCTACTCACAGCTGGTGCAGTTTAGAAACATGCTTTTTGAAACCTGGAAACAATACGTTTGTTTATAGCTGCCAGACATCACAACAGAAACAGACAACAGATTAAAAAAGGAGCAAGTCAAAAAAAATGTAGTTTCTCTCTGCTATTAGAGATACCTACTGGAGATTAAAAACTTCCAGGTCCTTGTAAAAAAACCTAATCATGATCTGGATTGGAGATCCTTCTTTTGACTCTTGCAAGACCTAAGTTGCATCTAAAATATACATTGTATATTGCTTGGTTTGTTATATTGAGCATAACTTATATATGGTACACACATTCATTTTACCAGGTAGTTTTTTGGTATGTGATCTATCACACACCCAACTGCTCTTTCATTGCATTAGTGAAAAAAATGTAATGTGAATTGCCACCTCCAGAAGGGTTTGACTGATCAAGTGCTGTAAAGGGACTGTATAAAAAAATTATAGTAAGGACTTTATTTGTTAGCCTCCATGAATATGCAGGTCTCCACGATTATCTGTCTATCTATACACATACACTCCCCCTGGCATTTGCTAGCCCTTAAGCTCTTGTGAACAGGGGTTGCAGGCAGAAAGCTAGGTTTGAAAAGAGACAGCAGGAAAAAAGTAAACATTGCTTTAAAAGATATGAAAATAAAAGCTATGTTGTATTTAACGGTAAAGAAAAATTATTTAGAAGTGGAAATGCGGTCACAAAAAGCTAGCAAAGCTCACCCAGAGAATTTACAGTTCTTCCCTTTTCATTCATACACAAACACCACGCCTCCTCCCCCCAACCTTGGATATAGGAAATCAGTTTATTATAACCCCCAGAAACAGTTATTCTGGATATCAAACCCGGTGACCATTCTTTAGCCCATTTTATTGCAATGCTTAGACTGAGCAATGACAAATGTTTATGTAAACTGTAGCTAAACATTGCAGTGGTTTACTTAGAAATGCATGCAATGGGCAATCTTCAGAAATATTACACTGAAGGGACCATCAAAGCATAAATAAATCAATGATATCCAATAAAAATTTATCCTTGAATTTTCATGTGTATCATACGACATTTAAAACTGCAGTACAATCTGTAAAAATTAAAACTGCAACATAATCATAAGAATTTTAGCCAGCAGCTATTAAATTTGAGAGCTGTTTGTTTTACTATACCTGGCAGACAAGCCTGATAAAGCCCTTTTGAGGATTTCTGGAGTGCTGTCTGTTGGTGGAGGAACATCAGGAACATCTGAATCACTTCTAAGATCCAACTCACCAAGTCTTTCTTCCAAATCCACTTCCTATGACCAAAAAAAAAAAAAAAAAAAAGGAAGAAAACCAACACAACACAACATGCAAGATTATTAGTTATTATGTCAGAAAACAGTATTCAGAGTCATCAACATTACTTTAGGAACTGATAATATCTACATGACCTTCTAAAAAGACAACAGTGGTGTACTAGTGAAACCGTAGATGTTGTAGGAGACAAATGTATCCCAATAAATGTTTCTAAGAAGGGCCAGTACTCAGATGTTGTGACATTACCTGCTGTGCTCAAGAAACTTCACAATCTAGGCCCTTTTTCAACCCACGTATCTAAGCGCAAGAACATATGTTTCCAGAAATACTACAGCTGACAGAACACATGAGTTTAACAGAAATCCCCAACCCTCTAAGACATTCTCTCACCTACATCTCAAACCAACCTTTTGTGGAATAAGGAGAAGGGTCTTCTGGTGGTTTAATATCAAATTAAGAAAAAAAGGAAATGGAATGCATGAAAAAACAGTCCCTTTGTACAATGAGAAGAGGTTGTGGGCACAGCCTCACACATACACTAGGACTTGAACCCTCCAGCTTGAAAAGAATGATCCAAAACCAAACTGTGAAGTGACCAAGTGTCCTATGGACACAGTATTACTCAGAATAATTTCTTGTAAGACTCCATGACTGCAGTTGTTTCTTCAGTATTCATTAACGACCACTCAGGAAGACATCATCTAGACAGACTGTCTAACCCAAATGCAAAATAGGCAGTACATATTTTGGTGACAGTGTACAAATTGTCACTAACGGTCAGAGTAGACTGTCAAGACTATTTTTCCCCTCAGTTAAACCCAGCACTAAGGGTGCTGATGATTTACTTAACTCGTTCTAATGTTACAAACACCACAACTCCAGGTAGTCAGAAGGCTGCACTCAGCCCTGGTGTAGCAGTAAGGCAGAGAGCTGTCTCTAGCTCAGTGTCTGGCTCTCCCGAGATCTGAACTTCCTCCTGACCTGCCTGACTTGCCTCACCTCCTTACAATCCCAAACAGCTTCCAGCCGGCCCTGCCGCCTCAGGTTCATCACTTCTTAATAGCTCTGGAGACTGTGAAGTGGTTGGAAACTTTTTTCACCACCACTATACTGCTATTTCTCAGTCTCCCTCTCTTTCCAACTTCCTCATCGCAGATCTCGGTTCTTTCTCCTTAATCCATTTCCATGAACATGACTGCTTTTCTTTCCTATATAATATTATTTTCTTCCCTTGTTCTGAGTATTTTTGGCATTTTGGAAGACAGCAGAAGTATATCCTCCCTCTCGCCCCCCCCCCCATAAGACACCACAGAAGTAAGGCGGCCTACCACCCCAGCCACCGCATGGTTACTCTGTTTATAGGCTACTGCCTCGTCCTCTCAATCCGTTGGCCTTTCCCAGGAAGCTACACCTCAGTGTAACCATTGCCTCAGTGACTGACCTCTGTAAACGACACAGGTGGAACAGATAAAGCTTTTCAAGCCCCGCCGTCCAACGTCCACGTCGAAGCCTACAGGCAGCAGCTGCGCAGCGGCGGCTGCGGGCGGGCCGGAGCTGACCAGGGTGCTGCAGCCGGCCCTCCCGCAGCCCCGGCCGGCGCCGGGCTCGCCCCTCCGACCCGCCCCAGCCCCCGCGCTCTGCGGGGACACCACCCTTCCCACTTACAAACTGGTTTTGTCTTTCTGGAACCCGAGCCCGTGAGCTGGCACTATACACACGCACGAGGGAAACAGGTAACAACAGGAAGAGTAATTCTCTTTTTTCAACATGTTAGGCCTGTGTTTTTCTCACTCACTTTATGTACCGCACACGTGCCCAAGATGAAATTCTTGAATGGAGTTTACATCATTTACTTCTTTGAAAAACATGATCAATGCTTTTCCTATTCCTTGAAACCCCACAGCTGAATAATTATTAGACAGACATTGTGTATAATTAATACAAGTAAAAAGAGCAAATACTCTAACTGTGGTCCAGACTTCAGAAAGTCTGTAGAACATCTGAAAAAACACATAAATAAATAAAAAATTACTCTGCTTGCAACCTTGTTATTCAGAGATGTTTCTCATAGTGTTGTACCACAGCTCAGGATATCAACTACAGATGCGACTGGGGCGGGAATCACGGATCTCTCCCAAAACCAGGTTCCAACTCCCGTGACCTGCACTGGGGTGCAGCCAGCTATCTGTACGGTTCTAGAAGACACGACTCACTGTGCAGACGATGGGCAGTAATCCTGGCCCTAAGACCACGACTTAGCATCTTTAATGCTAATCCTTGCTTGCACATGGCAGAAATGTTCTCTTTTAAGCACTCGGAACTAAGAATACCTCCAAACTTTTTTGTTCCATTTTTGGGCTTTTGGTATTGCAGAAAATGTTTCCATACTCAACCGGTGTTTAAACATCAAAAAAAAAAAAAAAATTCATACTTAGTTTTATCCCTCTGATATTTAACACACACCTGTCACTTATGCACCTCATTAGAAGCAATGTTTTAGATTTGCCGTTTCCAACATCTGAATTCACAAGAGCATGGCATTTTTCAGAGTATCTGAGCACCTTGAAGAAGGAGCCTGTGCGTATCCGATGTGTTTTTCGGTACCTCATGCTTCATACTGCCGCTACCGGGAGTTTGGCTGGTGCAACCTGAAAGTTGCATAGAACTTGGTGCATTTGGTCATTTTTTAGCTTTACATTACTACAATAACCAGTGGGAGACAAACCCCCGACTATCTTCAACTTCCCTTTGTAACATGCCTCAAAAATGACCTTGAATACTTTATTTTCCGGTTAATTGCTATAATGGCCACAACTATTTCCTGAATAAGCCATTTAATTTGCAAAGTCAGAAGCCAAAGAGGAAGTTGTTAACTAGAAGCTAGTTAATTGTCTTCTGCATCGTGAAGTGCTTAGAGAACCCCATCACCGGGGGACAAGCCTTTCTTGCTAATTGTCTTCTTGATTATTTTACATGATTGATTATAAACATTCCAGTTTATAGCCATGAATAACAACAATCATTATGGAAGGAAACACTGAGTTAATCACTATTAAAACCCTCAAAAAAAAAAAATCAAGAGTCTTGCTCCTTCAGCTTGACCTTGTAGAAGCAGTTTTGGAGTTCAGTATAAAACCAAGCAGCGCTTCCTTCTCCTGCTCTTCAGGTTTGGGATTTGGGCAGGCTGAATACACAGTAACAACAAGGGGTATTAATTGAAATGCCATGCGCTTCCTACTGTGAGCAGGTATTTACAAGGTTTTTCAAAGGTTAATTGAAAACAGCAGAAGTCGTACTGTCCTAAGTGACTAAGACACCTTTCAACCCCAACTCCAAATTAAATGTTTGATCTGAGGTATTTTCACTTTTTTCTAGAGTTCTCCAACTGCAGGTGACAGAGCCTTTCACATGCAGAACATGTGCTACTCCTGTCTCCCTGATTCACATCTAAAGTGTCTGTAACGGATAGATGTTGCAATGAGGTCGTTGCCTTGCTTCTCTTCCTTTGAAGGCACGTGTTCCTTCAAGAGAATCTATCTGATCAGCTCATAGAATACAAGTCCAACAAGGCTGAGACGATGCAGGCCTAACAAGTACAGGGAAGAAGGCAAACATGACAGTTATTCACACACTACAAACAGCTCAGCACATAATAAACACGCCTATCTGACACACTATGACACTCATTGGTTTTCATCGTTTCCAAAGTACCCTGAGACAAAGGTTTATTTAGTTGTAGGGCTTTGTTTTGATTTAATTTTGGTGTTCTTAAAGACAAGACTTTCACCCTTAAGCTAAGTCTTCTGTACAAGACCACAAATACTTGGACATACAAAGGAAGAACTCAAACAGTCAAGAGCCCGAGCCTCCTACCAGGAGTTCAAAACATGCGACATCTTGCCACAAATTAAGCTTCCATGTGGATTTCTGCTTGCTGGCTACTTCGCACCTGCTACCAGAACACAGCTGTGTGTCATGCAGAAAAAAATAGACACGTCAATCTTTCATCATCTAAAAGGACATACGCATCTGAATTGCTCTTTTGTACCACATGCCCTCCACTACAATTAACACGTGCTGAGTGAACCACGCACAAGAATTATTCTAGTTACAAAGGCACTTGCAATGTTTTGCTTGTACTGCATTTTTTTCCAGGACACAATAAGGAACTCCCAAGTAGACAGCAAATATGTTTTTCTTGGAGAATGCAGCATCTACATGAAGAGCAAGTGAGAAAATGAAGACATTTTCCAACAGCTAACATGAAAAAAGTTAGCAAGCAAAAGAATTTAATTATTGTCATTTTACCTGTGTAAGTGCTACTTTAAGTAAAGTTTTCTCCTCCAGCTTCGACCTTTCTGCAGTTTCTTTCACAAGTTTTACAATGAAGTCAATAGTTCAAGTGGACCACACGGTAGCATATTTAATTAGATGTACCTTGATACCTTCCTCTGAAGTCAAGATATCAAAGTGTCAGAAGATCCTGAATAATGAAACCTTTTTTTCCGAACTCTTAAAGCCTGACATGTGCAGAAACACAAGCAAGAGAACCGCACGCACTGAATCGACAACTGAAACCTACAAATTCCTTTACTATCTGCATTAGTACTAATTCACCACCACTTCCAAGAAAACAAAGGTTTGGAAATAGTCAGCCCTTATTATTATTACCATGCTTGTAGCAGACAGCAGAGAGGTCAGACTTCTCTATGAAAATTAAACAGATCCATTTTCTGGATATTGTAGTACAGTAGTAAGTCAAATGAAGTAACTAAGTGATCCACGACAGGCTCTATTGTTCCGCCATAACCCACTCTGCCACCAGGAATTTCATTCATCTCCAAGCAGGTTTGGAAGGTTTTGGGCATCAAAGACCCAAGTCCCAAACCCAGCTTCACAGGTCTGAGCAACTTATCTAGCAATTGATTCCCTGGAAGGGCTGTCTCACAGAACAGAAACAGCTTTTTCAATACCATAGGAAAAACAGTGGTCAGTGATT